CTCATTTTTTTTTTTTTTGGTATGAAATGATTTGGGAATAAAATGCCCCCCCCCCTTGATTGCTTTTAGTAAACATTTTTTTCTTTCGAGACTCGTTGGAAGAGGGAAAGACACCGTTGCTTAACGATCCGCAAAGCTTTCGGGGTAGCGGATCGTTTTGTGGGAGGCGGAGCACACACACCTCGGGGGACGTTGGGACCGGGCTGGGGTTCACTAGGGGAGTTTCCAGGAGTGGCAGGAAGTAGGGCCACCTTTTAGGAAGGACGAGGCCGGGGAAGTGGAGCTGCATTCCTGGCTTTCTGACCTGGAGCCTCAAGTTTGCATCCCCCGCGAGGCTTCCGAGAGGATCGCTGTCGTTTCCCGCGCCGTTTCCGGGTGCCTGGCTGGGTCGCCGTGAGCGGTGATGAAGACGAAGGCCATCCATAGTTTCGCAGTCCGGTGGGGAAGCGTTGTCCTCCCTTTTCGGGGCCAGTGGGTGCTTCAGCGGAAAGCGGCGAGTGCTGGGCAGCTGGGGAGCGGAGGCTTACTTGATGCCGGGGGCTGTTTCACCGAGGAGACGACTCGGCCCTGGTCTGGAGGGGTCGTCTGCTTGAGATTGGGGGTGCGCGTTGGAGCCCGAGATCGTGTCTGGGAGCCTGGCAGGGGGTCGTGGGAGGAAAAGAGGGATGAGTCGGGACAGGTTGATGAGGGACCGAAATGTGAATAGTCGGGTCACCGCAGGAACGGGAGTCCAGCGCTCTGCCGGGTATGAAACGTGCCCACGAGTTGCAGGGCCTCTGATATTCTTGTTGTTGGGTATTTAAGATTGAAACACGGCTTTCATCGAGATGTGTGTAGAGGCGTTTATTTTTCTCTTTTTAGACTATCCCTCAACCGCGCCTTTGCAAAATAATTAGAAAACGTAAAGATGTTGCTGTTTTTGTTTATCCAGGAGTGGAGTGTTCATTTGGGGTACTTTACCGCTTTGGGGACTTGTTTATTGGCACTTTCATCAGAAGGTACTTTTGGACAGGAAATCTAAAGTTCTGATCGGTTTTCCTGCATTTTTGAAACCTAGTGTAAAGCTTTGGGCTACAGAAGATTGAAATTTATTGGCCAGAATTGCTATATTTTGGATTATGCTTTATCGATGTGAATTAACTGATGCCATAAAGTATTGGAACATTCAGTTTAACACCTGAGCACTGTGTAAAAGACACTGTTCATCACTGTGGAGTATAAAGGGGCTGATAAATGTTCAGTAGAAATACACATGGTAGTTACATAGTTTCTTGCTAGAACTTCTAGTCCTTCATGGCTCATCTCTGTTTTCACTTTTTAAGTCATCTTTGATAACCTGGAACGGAATTAGTTTTGTTTTTTTTTAATGCTGGCTGTTATAGTCCTCTATAATTCTTTATTATATTACCTAGAATATTCTATCATGTTAAGGTTTTCTCTTCCACTTTGAGATTGTTGAGTGCAGGAACTGTACCTTGGTATCCCCAAAACCTGGTAAACATGGGTGCTAAATATTTTATCAACATTCACTGAGAGATTAATTTGTACTGGAAGTATTAAAATAGTGTTACAGTAATGACCTTTGAACAATCGGGTAGGTTTGTATACATCTATTTGGCTGAGATAAGTGAGAAGTGGGACTTATTCATATATTAGATTAGATACCTCCCGAGCTGAGAAGAAGGAATTTAAGATTAACATCAAATTAGGGAAGGCTTTGCATGCTGAGCTAGGTTTGACTTTGGCTTTCCATTGAATACGGAATAAAGTGCCCTCCTTCTCCCGGGTACCAGATTACTTCTGTTTTAGGAAAGTCATTGGTTGTGGTAAGTCAAGGACTACCATTCTTCCTTATGCCATTGAATGCAATTGAGGTAGTTGAGAGGGGGACTTGAATTTTTTTTGTTATTGGTGTTGTTTTTGGTTTTTGTTAATCCTCACCCGAGGATGTTTTTCCATTGATTTTTCAGAGAGTGGAAGAGAGAGGGAAAGAGAGAGAAATGTTAATGTGAGAGAAAAACATGGATTGGTTGGTTGCTTCCTGCTGGAGCCCGACCAGGGCCCAGGGCCAGGGAGGAGCCTGCAACCAAGGTATGTGCCCTTGATCGGAATCAAACCTGGTACCTTTCAGTCCACAAGCTGAAGCTCTATCCACTGAGCCAAACCGGCAATTTTTGATTTAGAGTTGTTCATCATCATGTTATTTAAGTAAAGAAGATCATATAATCTTTTTATCCTAAATAATGCTGCTGGGAAAAAATGATTCTTTGTTGTATCTTGTCATTTAAGAAATTTAAAAAAAAATATTTTTATTGCCAGGCCAGCGTGGCTCAGTGGTTGAGCGTTGAGCTATGAACCAGGAGGTTATGGTTCTATTCCCGGTCAGGGCACATGCCCAGGGTTGTGGGCTCGATCACCAGTAGGGGGTGTGCAGGAGGCAGCTGATCAGTGATTCTCTCTCATCATTGATGTTTCTATCTATCTCTCCTGTTCCCTGAGCCAAACCAGCCAGGGCCCTTGACATCCTCTTTAACCAACTTGATTATTTCTTACCTTGATCAGTGTGGCTTATGCTTTCCAGTATTGAAATATTAAAATGAAATAAAAAAATTTGGACCTTTTTGCACGTGTCAAATGTAGACAATTATTAGTGTGCATAATCTTGCTATCCAGCAGTTTTCAGATATTGCTGACTATGGCAAGTGAAGGAACACTTTTCTGTTTTGGAAAGGAAAAATGGATTATCCAAAAATTCCAGTGGCTTGTTTTGCCACTATCCCTTGAGTAGATATTTTTTGGTATCACAAAGCTGAAAAGTTTTTTCTCTAATTTTTTGCTTGTAGAATGCCTGAGATAGTTATTTTTTCTGCATATTCTGAAATTTTTATTTTTCTATGTTCAGATAGTTATTTTGCTTTGTATACTTTTGTGGACTTCAGTATGAATATTGCTAGTAAAATAAAAGGGAAAAGTTGCTTAAGGATTTTGAAAAGGATTTTTTCTTTAGAATTTAGTTATTGAATTAATGTTAATCAGGAGTTCATCGTTTAGGAATTGATATCTGTGATTTTCAGTAAAATAATTTACCATTGTAGTTAGTTGTCTTACTGGAATTTTGTTTAAGGGAAAGACTGAGAGGTGAGATATTTTTCTGGATGTCTTTTAGAAGTCTCATTTGAAAAATCCTTGCTCATCAATTGCTTCTGGCTGTGCAGAATGGATGACACTTATGGACCTGACTAAAAAGTGTCAGTGAATGGTTAACATCCAACGGCTGTGCTCTGTAACATGTAATGAACAGTGATTAAAAGATTGCAAACAATATAAATTTAAAATCAAGAATAAAAACACATCGAGGAGGAAATGCTACAAGCTGGAGTTAGCAGTATCTGAGGCATAGAAATAAAAGGCACAGAAGGGTAAATGAGTAGAGGGACAGAGTTTGGTTGTATGAGGTGTGACCAGTGGTGGTTAATCTCAGTTTATTTAGGTCTTAGTTTAAAATGCAAATAATAGATAAGATGTTACCCATAGTTCTGAGGTACTATTTTTTGATGTCAAACTGAACTGCCAGATAAAATTTGATGTGTTTGTTAGACAAGTGTAATTTTAGCATTACATTTTTCTGACTTAAAAGTAATGTAGTAGCCCTAGCCGGTTCTCTCAGTAGATAGAGCGTCAGCCTGTGGACCAAAGGGTCCTGGGTTTGATTCTGGTCAAGGGCACATGCCTTGGTTGTAGGTTCCTCCTGGGCCCAGGCCCTTTTGGGGCATATGCAGGAGGCAACCAATTGGTGTGTTTCTCTCACATTGATGTTTCTCTCTGTCTTTCCCTCTCTCTAAAAATCAATGGAAAAATATCCTTGGGTGAGGATTAAAAAAATATTTTTTTAAAGTAATGTAATTTTTTTTAAAGGAAACACTATTATCTTCATTGAGGATATGCTTTTCATTGATTCTAGGGAGTAAAGTAGAAGGAGAGAGAGAAATCTATGTGAGAGAAACATCGATTGGTTGCTTCCCATATGCCTTCTTGGGATCCAACCCGAAACCTGGGTATGTGTCCTGACCAGGAATTGAACCTGCGACCCTTCGGTGCGCAGGACAACACTCCAGCCAGCCAGTGCTATAATAACTTTTAAGTAAATGGAAATAATTTTTAAAAAATATTTTATTGATTTTTTTACAGAGAGGAAGGGAAAGGGATAGAGAGTTAGAAACATCTATGAGAGAGAAACATCGATCAGTGAAGGTACATGCCCTTGACTGGAAACGAACCTGGGACCCTTCACTCCGCAGGCCAACGCTCTATCCACTGAGCCAAACCGGTCAGGGCTGGAAATAATTTTTTGAATGAATTGAGATTTCAAATGGGCTAGCTCACAAATTTATTAATTAATTCACACTTAATTAATATTGACCTTCTAGGGAAGGATTTGTTTTCTGGTGGTTGAAATGTTTCTAAGATCAGAATTCCCTTCCAAAAGGGGGGGTTTCAGTTGAATAATGACATTTCTGTAGATAATTGGAGCACGTTTAGTTTTTTAAAAAGCATGTCTATATCTTAACATGTAGAAGATTTTACATTACCTAATCAATTAACAAGATCAGTAAAGCCAGAAAAGGAAAAAAATGACAATGATTCAGAAGAGTTGGAACTTTTGAGGTTAAAGATATTTCATAAAAGATCTAAGAATTTTGAGATTTGGGTACAAACTGGGGCTGCTAGTTCAGTAGTAAACCTGTTCCATTACTTTGAGTTTCTGAGACTTGTTCTCACTCTTGTAGGGAAATGTGCCTGCCCCAGCTGTGCCTTAGACTAGGTACTGTTATTCCATTTTCTCTGCACCCATCTTTGGAACTACAGAGGGTTTTCTCCCTTAGCGTGGGGTCGGGATGAGCATTTGAATCTTTCCCCTTTTGGATCCTTGCAAACTAATAAATTAGCTTTTTTTAAAAAAAAAATTTGTTTTATTGCTTAAAGTATTACAAAGAGTATTATATATGCCCCCCCCCCCCACATTCAATAAATTAGCTTTTTAAAGTACCTGGTATTAAGGTGTAATTCAGTTGAAGGTAATGATCTGGCAAAAATGAAAGCATCAGTTAGGCTACAGAAATCACTGGCAGTAGAAACTTTGTTTCCACCACCCTGTGTTATCCAGATAATTAAAATGAAACATTTAAACATTTAAATTTGTAATTTAAAGTTACCTGGTGTCAGGAAAGGCTAAAAAATTGGTGGGAGGACTCCTCTGTATTTGAAGGACACTAAAGACATGACAACTAAGTGCAATGCCTGGTTCTTGCTTGAATTGTGGATCAATTGTGGAAAAGGATGTTTGTTACTAGGACAATTGGGGAGATATGAAGCTAGATAATATATTAGATGATAATGTTATTAAGGTTTAACATGCTCATTTCTTGAGCATGTTAAATCTGTTGTGGTTATTTATATAAGAGAATGTCCTAGATCTGGAAATAGATACAGAAATATTAGGAGTTTTAAATGGTTTAGAAAAGTTATATGTACACACATTTGCTTTATCTCATACATACACAGTTGATGAATACAGGTGAAGTGTATGTGAATGTTCACTGTATTTTAATTTTTCCTACTCTTGACAAAATTAAAAATTGAGAAGTTTGGGGGGCAGTTGAGGAGAGTTGATTCGTCATTCACCAGATGTCGGTCTTCTAAATACTAGACCTGTGAATAGAAAACATGGTGCTTGGGGGGTGGGGTGGGGGTGGTGATTTAATCCTTTAAAAAAACCTTTATGTTGTAGGAAACAGGTACACATGTTTAAATGAAGTATTAATTAGTAGAGAAAGAACCTTTCTTTGAAGGCAGATGTTTTGATTCCAGATCTCAGACTTTTTAAAAAATCAGTTATAAAAAAAAATCATAGTTATACACACTTTTTTTCCAACCTTTATTTTTTGTGTATTGATTTGAGAGAGAGAGGGAGGGTGGGAGAGAGAGAGGAAGAGAAAGAAACATTGATTTGTTGCTTCACTTATTTGTTGCATTCGTTGATTGTTGTTTGTGCCCTGACTGCGGATTGAACCCCGAAAGGACCGTGCTCCAATCAACCAAGTTCTACCCGGCCAGGGCCAGATCTCAGACTCTAATCGTGAACTAATAAGTGTGATGATGGTTGCAGCCAAATTATGCAGAGTTCTGAATTCCATGCTTAAGAATTTAGATTGCCCTTTATTTTACTGTTCACAGTGTGAGCCTAGCTGTTTAGGACATGACTTGGGAGCGTGTTAGGAATGCAGAAAGTTGAGTGTGATCCAGGCCTACTGCATTTTAACAAAATCTGTAGACAATTCGTTTTACGTTCAAGTTTGAGGACCACTTTCCATAGTGCTGTTTTTATATTTCTGATAGTGTTGAGTTTAGAATAATCTTGAGTGTTATTCTTTGTCCCTAGTCAATATTGACAGTATTATTTTTTAAGTTGGAGAAAGGTTTAGAATTCAATGGTAATTTAATAAACGTTGGTAACCCATTCTTAATGTAACAGTAATTTGTTGTTCCGTATGGGAGTATTGTCTATTGATTTGGAGATACATTAAACGTATTAAAAATCAATGCTTTATATAGTTATAGTTCTAACCCCTTATATGGTATAATTATTTTAGTTTCTATATTTATTTATTTATTTTTAAAAATATATTTTATTGATTTTTCACAGAGAGGAAGGGAGAGAGATAGAGAGTTAGAAACATCGATGAGAGAGAAACATCGATCAGCTGCCTCCTGCACATCTACCACTGGGGATGTGCCCGCAACCCAGGTACATGCCCTTGACTGGAATGGAACCTGGGACCTTTCAGTCCACAGGCCGACGCTCTATCCACTGAGCCAAACCGGTTTCGGCTAGTTTCTATATTTGGCTAGTTTCTATATTTAGAAGAGTATCCTAAATAATACCTAGTAGGGAAATGCATTGTGTTGAGTGCTCTTTGGAAATGAAATTAAAGTCTGTGTTAACTTTGTTACAGATATCGAAGCACAGATTCGAGAAATTCAAGGCAAGAAGGCAGCTCTTGATGAAGCTCAAGGAGTGGGCCTTGATTCTACAGGTTATTATGACCAGGAAATATATGGTGGAAGTGACAGCAGATTTGCTGGGTATGTGACATCAATTGCTGCAACTGAACTTGAAGATGTAAGTACAAAGTATACAAGAGTCAAGCATTATTAATCTTTTTGGGGTGGAGAGCAAGAAATATAAAGGTATTTTCTCTTTGCGTCATCTGGCTTAATCTGCAGACATTTTGGAAATTGGGAGATCTTCCTTTTGGAGGATAAAACTGTTGAAAGAATCCTTCCTCTTAGCCCTTTGCGGTTGTATTAAATTTGGACATGGGTGTCATACTGGTCGGAATTAATTTCCATTGAAAGAGCAGTGATACATAACATGCAAGATTATGAAGGATAAACAAGATTTATTAATTCTTTTTTGGAACTACGTCACTACTAGTAGAATCACTACAAACGTTATCACTTTCTACGTCAGAGTCAGTATTCAAGGTGCCAAAATAAAACTCTTCATCGTTACTTTCAGATTCGCAGTACACTTCTTTCGGTAACTTTCTTTTTGCCATTTTGGAGTATTATTTTGAAATATCTTAACAAGCGAGAATGCCTAATTACAGTTAAACGTAATTTGTAAAGCTTTATTTGGAATTCTGCGAAGTATCTCCGAAGCTTGTCGATTTCTTCACTCTCAAAAGGCGACTGACTTGCCACGGTGTTTTGCATGGCGAGTGTGGAACGACCGTGTTTGTTTATATTGAGTTTCTCCGATTCGTCGGGGCAATGTTTTGGTTCGTGACAAGGTCGCTTAGACACTTAAGAGCTTTCAGAGAAATTATGAACTGATACATGAATGAATAGAGTTCAGATTCGTACGGTTCCTTGCTGAGGTGGCTGAGAGCAGACATACGACCGGAACGGTAAAAAAGCTTTGGTGGCTGAGAGTAGACAAACGACCGCAAAGGGTTAGTTCTGAACCATTGTTTATTTATCTAGCAAAGCACCGACAAATCATTAATTGTTATAAAGTAAATCCTTACTACTGAGCTCTGTTTAGAGTAACCCACATGGGAAGTGACTTCATAGTGAGCAGCCATCTGTCCTTGTGACTTGAATCTGACTTGTGCTTAGTGCTGTTTTGTTACTGATATTATTAATGGATTCTGCGTGCCTGTTTCAGTTATTCTGGAGGATGACCACTTTCATTTTGAAATACATCTGAGTGTTTTTATATATTCTCATAGCTTACATTTTGTCAGATCATCTCAAACATCCAAATTTGGTGAAATTGCTATCCCTTTTTTGTATGATTCAGTAATAGACATTTTATGGATATAGGTAATCAAACTTGTTATTTTTATGACACTCAAGCCACATTTTATTTTGTAGTTGGCACTTTTAAAAAAGTAAATTAGAAAGTTGCAAAGGTAAAATTTCTAGAAGCCCATCATACCTTCTGATAGGAGAGAGTGGTGGCTATATGTTCCAGAAACTGAAGGAGAAATTGTTTCATACACTAGTAAAATAATACAACACTTTCTGCTTAAATATTATTACAAGGGAAACAAGTGCATTTAAAACATTATCTTTTACTTGTTTCTGTGGTTAAATCATGTTAACAAACAAACAAAGAAAGTGGAGATTTTTAAATAAACTTTAGTTTCCAAATTTGAAAAACAAATTTCATCATGCCCTCTCTGAGAAAACAAAATGCTCAGGTTTTTCTAGTTCATACTTACTTTATTTTAATTGGCTTCCACAGAAAGCATTTCTTGTTTAATATTTTTAAATGAGTAAAAACTAAGGTTAATTTCTTTAATGACTTTTTTTGAGTTGAAAACTCACATGTTTATAAGTTCTGTGAACAAGTGTTTAGACCTCACACTGTCAGTAAGTCTTTAGATTTCATGTTGAATCTTAGTACAATTTTTCTAATTTTTAAATTCTGATGTTTTGCTTATGGCTTTTTGGTGGCATTTTATTGCAGGATGACGATGACTACTCATCATCTACAAGTTTGCTTGGTCAGAAGAAGCCAGGATATCATGCCCCTGTGGCATTGCTTAATGATATACCACAGTCAACGGAACAGGTGACTTTTTTCTTTTTTGTTAAATCCAGAGTTTACTCAGCTAAAGAAAACTGTCTCAATTCCCATGGAAGCCCATATATTTTAAGAGTCAACTTATTAGAATGTTTTGAGGAGAGTTGATTTGGGAAAATTAGAAATAATACTTATTAATTTCTTTTTAAATCCTGACCCAAGGATATTTTTCCATGGATTTTAGAGAGAGTGGAAGGGAGGGCGAGAGACAGAGAGACACATTGATTGGTTGCCTTCTGCCCGTGCCCCAACCAGGGCTAAAATCAAGCCTGCATCCGAGGCACGTGCCCTTGACTGGAATCGAACCCGGGACTGTTTTAGTCTGCAGGCTGGCGCTTTATCCATTGAGCCAAACCAGCTGGGGCAATACTTAGTAAATTTTATAAAGGTAATCATTTTATGAAGACTTGAACTATGGAAATACGGACGGGTATTTTTTTCATTTCTGTGTTACTTATTTTTTCATATTAATACTTATCCCTAAAATTAAACAATATCTCTTTTATTAATAGGCATTTATTAAACATTTTACATGTTTTATAATGTTCTGCTTTTGTTTAAGATATTCTGTTTGGTTATGTAATAAAGTGGGTATTAAGTTGGACATCCCTCTTTTCAGTATGATCCATTTGCTGAGCACCGACCTCCAAAGATTGCTGACCGGGAAGATGAATACAAAAAGCACAGGCGGACCATGATAATTTCCCCAGAGCGTCTTGATCCTTTTGCAGATGGTAATTCTTTCCCACTTTTCTTTAGTATTCACGAATTTGCTTGTATTAAGCTCTCTTTAGCCCTTTGATTTTTTTTGGCATGCTTATGAATTTGCTTTTCTTTTTAAAAATCCCCCTTATTATAGATGTGTATAGATTTGGTTGAAGTCAAAGATGCCATATTCTTCATCTTTATAATACAAGTTTTCTTTCCAGGTAGAAGGACAAGAAAATAATGAGCCAATGCCATAGAAACGCAAAGGGTTAAAGGTTTTTCTTTTACTTTTGTTTTGGGTACGCTTTCTATACTTGGAACAAATGTGTTTTTCTGGTCAAAATACTTTCAAATTCTTGAAAGTTTTCATTCCAAATCCTAGATTTTAGGATTGTTACTTTTGAGAAACTTTCTCACATTAGAGCTCCCCTCATATTTCTCTAAATATAGTTTAGTAAGTGCACCTACTTTGCTTTAAGCATACTTAAAATTAAAACAAAAGTATGTATACAAAGGCTTTGATATTTTTAATAGTTGGAGTCTGTTTTGCTAATTTTAGTGTGCAGGTCAGCACAGGGGGCATAGTGAGCCTGATGGAAGCTTTCCTCGGGTGAGTTTCAAAATCAAAATTAGGTGCCTGTTTCTTAAAATGAGATTCTGCTGCAGGTTTACAAATTAGACTTTCAGCCTGCATGAATTAGTAGGGATATTCTTTTTTTACTTGCATAATTGTAATTGATTTAAACATGTATGTCAGAATTCACAGGCCCATACTAACTGTCCTTAATTTCTTTCCTACAGCAGTACTGCTATATGCCAGTCCTGTCTGCATTCTTAAGGGTGCAGTTCAACACATCCTCTCTAGATTATGGTGAAAAAGTATTCCAAAGGAAGTCTTATCAGAGCTAGTGTCAGAAAGAATGACACTACCAATTGGGCATGATCTTCAGCATAGGAAATGTCTTAGAATTTTATTATTTTATTTTTCTTAAATTGTGATGCTATACTACTGTATAGCTAATTATCACATTTTATAAAACATAGTGTTCCTCTGTGAATCTTGTTATATACTGTTTGGGCTTCTTTAAGATATTTTGAAGTTTGAAAAGCAAATACTGAAACTTGAACCAAGAGACTAACACATCTCTTTGTATGCCACTTCTCTTCTATGTGCATCATAATAACTGGTAGAAAGTAATATATTCAAGTAATATATTTTCATTTGTAATCATACTTTCTAAAGATAAAAATGTTTCTGGGTCAACAAAACTTTAACAAGCATGAAGCCCTTTTTTAGTAACCTGACATGAGAATAAGATTATAGGTATATTTTTAAAAATCAGATTTGCTAAACTATAACTGTTTTAGAACATTGTATGAAGAACTTACCTAGTTATAGTTATTTGTAGTTAGGATTTTAACAGCTTGCAACAGGTAATGTTTTGAATATAAATATCTTTCCAAAGTGTTACTAATGGTAAAGAGATAATTTTCTAGGCTTCTATTCTGCTGCTTGAAGTCAGAACTGCTGATGGAGACAAAGGCACGAAAGTGTACGTATTCCGGATTAGCAACCCAGGAACCCATCACTTCTGAAGACTAAACTGTGCTGTCATTTTGCTTTTATATGCATTAAAATATTTGTTTTAAACTGCTGTAGATGTTTGTGTTCAAACAGGTTAAATTGATCAGCAAACTCAATAAAAAGTAAGATGTATAATTATTAAAGTTTTCCATCAAAAAATAAATTAAATGATATGGAATAACATAATATTAGAGCAGGGAAGATAAATCAGTTGAACCTAATTATCGTTTATTTATTGTACTCTTGTCCTGTTGCTGTTCTTTTCTGCAGGAGGGAAGACCCCTGATCCTAAAATGCATGCTAGAACGTATATGGATGTAATGCGCGAGCAGCATTTGACTAAAGAAGAGGTATGAACCTGCTCTTTATTTTAATGGTTGTGAAAGACTAGAAATAAAGCTGAGATTGAGAGACTTATATTTCCTTTTTATTTGCTGAACAAGTAATTCAGTATTATTAATAAAAGTAAAGTTGAGACAGAACCTTACCCAAAATTCTACCACCTCCCATGTTAATCATTTTTTCTGTCCTTTTCTAGTCCCTGGCCCCTTGGCCATATACATACATATGTTTCTTCTAGTGACTATGTCCGTGGGGAGGATGATAGTGTGTACCTGAAGCCAGTGTGTAAGGAAAAAGCCAAGTAGTTAAACCATTCCTTGAAAAACTTCTAATTCTCCCATAAAATTGAGTTTGGATATGGTTGGAGAATTCTGAAGAATTCCTGCTGGCTTACAGAAATTGCTTCATTTTGTTTCAGTAGTTAGCCTTCATAACTTTATTATAAATATATAATTGTTTAAATTAAGTGGGGTGATGGAAATTAAATGCATTTGTTGGGATGTTATATATAATATTTACCTAATTAAAATCATAATTTAAAATTTTTCACTTTTTACCACTTTTCTATCTTGTTACATATTCTGATTTGCTGTTTATATGAGTTTTAAATAAAACTATTTTTCAATGGAAGCATTTTAGTTCTCTACCATTGGCTGAAGATTTGCTTCACTGTCTAGAGTAGGGTGCTCTGTTATAAATTCTGTACTTGCTCATCTACTGTGCAGAAGGATATTGTATGAAACGAAATACAGAGAAGAGAGGGAAAATAAGACCAGGACTACCACTAGCATAGGAAGGAGAGTGAGTGAAGAATGACATGACGTTAAATAGAAATGTTTGTACTAATGATATGAAAATATGTTGAAAACGTTTTAAAGATACTCAGTGATTATTCAATTATTTTCAGAGAGAAATTAGGCAACAACTAGCAGAAAAAGCTAAAGCTGGAGAACTGAAAGTCGTCAATGGAGCAGCAGCGTCCCAGCCTCCCTCAAAACGAAAACGCCGTTGGGATCAAACAGCTGATCAGACTCCTGGTGCCACTCCCAAGAAGCTGTCAAGTTGGGATCAAGCAGAGGTGGTTACATTGTATTTTTTAAGACTATTATAATTTTTTTTTCTCACATGAAATGTATTGTCTGCTTTCATGACGATAGCAGACTGGGTGGCTTAAGAAACAGACATATACACACACACACACACACACACACATTTTTAAAATATATTTTATTGATTTTTTTACAGAGAGGAAAGGAGAGGGATAGAGAGTTAGAAATATCGGTCCGCTGCCTCCTGCACACCCCCTACTGGGGATGTGACCGGAATCGAACCTGGGACCCTTCAGTCCCCAGGCCAATGCTCTATCCAGTGAGCCAAACCGGCTAGGGCAGACATATTTTCTTAGAGTTCTGGAAGATCAAGGTGCCAACTGAGATTTTGAACAAATTATGTGCTTTACTCACCTAATGGAAAATTTCCCAACTCTAAGTAATACATAGAATCTTTTTAAAGGGAAAAATAACTAGTTTTAAATTTATTGTATTTATGCAAGTTTGCAAACAAAGCTAGCTAGAACTTTTAATGTTGGGTAGAGCATCCAATTTTAAAACAAATACATAAAAAGTATAGTACAAAACCTATAGAATATTTATGTCATTATTTAAATACAAATCACACTGAATCACTTAATGTGTTGCTACATATGGTATTGTCTGTACTGTGCAGGCTCTTTTGCTATCACTTGCTTATCTTCCATCCTCCCTTACCTACTATTTAGTCTCTCTATGTAAATTGCTGTGGAACCTTTGATTACTTAAATTCACTTCTAATTTTTTTTCACCGATCTTGCCAGCATCAGAGGAGTAATGCAAATGTGATTGTAAATATAAATTAATCTTAAGGATTGAAATAGTGTTGCAATCTTTAGCTATAATTACCCACGTGATCCAAAATGTCTTATATTAATCAAATATATAAACACAGAATGAAGGAAAACACAAAAATAGTATTTCTTGGTGAGAATTCAGTGGGTTTGAGAACTACTTATATAATACTGAAATTCTTTGATTGCAGATCTAGACAGAGAAACCTTCGTGTCTTTCCAAAAGTCACGGGGCTAGTAATGACAAAACTAAGATTCATACTTAGAATGCAATATTTTTAAAATGAGGGCTTTCTTCACTGCTCCAAATTAATACTTTAAATTGTGGTTAGTCGTAAACATATTTGCTAGAAAGTACGTATTATTTATTTTTCTTTTTTGAAAGTACGTATCTTTTAAACAGAACGATAATCTATTCTAACTTTTAATTATAGAGAATAGCTCTAGCCGGTTTGGTTCAGTGGATAGAGCAAGCATGTCAAGCTCAAAGGCTAACATGGGCCAAATAAACAAGGTTTAAGTTTATGTGGGCCACAAAAAAAACAAAAGCTTCAATTTTCATAGAAACGTAGGGAGTCATTGTTAACATAAAATAATAGAACATTTTAATTAATATTTTTTTCTTGAATATTAACTTACCAGACACTGGATAACTGCACAGATTAATAAGCGTAACACAAATAAACCTATTTTTCATGTTCTCCGAAAGTGAAATATTTCCTGTTGTGCACACCAAACAAGTCAGTCTAAGACTAATGACGTGGCTGCTAAAATATTCGCTGCTAGTATTAGTGGAGAGAAATGGTGCACCTGTTCGGAAGGGAAATGAATGCAACACGATTATAGTAGTCAGTTATTAGTGAACGCTGTAATAATTATGCATAACAGGATATTGTAAAAAATTAAGTTATGAAATTTTTATTAAAATGTTTCTTACATACCGTTACATTGGCTGGGCCACAAAAATATTCATGGGCCACATGTTTGACATACTTGGGATAGAGTGTTGGCCTGCAGACCATAGGGTCCCGGGTTCATTTCCGGTCAGGGGTGCATACCTTAGTTGCAGGCTTCTCCCTGGCCCCCGGCCTTATTCTGGGCCCATGCAGGAGGCAACCAATTGATGTGATTCTCTCACATTGATGTTTCTCTTTCACTGGCCCTGGTCAGAGGCAGTCAATCGATTTGTTTCACTTCGATGTTTCTCTCTGTCTTCCCCTCTTCCACTCTACCTAAAAATCAATGGAAAAGTGTCCTCAGGTGAGGCTTAACAAAAAAAAATAAAAGACATAAATAAAAGATCCTCTGGTGAGTATTAATAAATAAATAAAACAAATTATAGAGAAAGGAACTAAAGCATTTGTTAAAATTTTTTTTTAGTGTTTATTGGGGTTACATTGGTTAATAAAGTTATATAGGTTTCAAGTGTACAATTCTATAATACAACGTCTTATATATTGTATTGTGTTTACCACCCCAAATCAGGTCTTTTTTCATTATCATCATTTATCTCCCCTTTACCCTCTTCTACCTTCCTTAGCCCCCTTTCCCTCTGGTAATCATCATACCGTTGACCCAGCCCCCCACCTCCCTCCCCTGACAGTTGTCAGTCTGTTCTCTGTATCTATGAGTCTGTTTCTGTTTGTTTATTTTGTTCATTAGATTCCACATATAAGTGAGATCACATTTAAAATTTAACAGGAATTTTTTAGTTGTTTTTATGTGGGTGTGTAGGTGTGTGAAATAAAATGTGTTTGTTCTGTTAAGACCCCTGGACATACCCCTTCCTTAAGATGGGATGAGACACCAGGTCGTGCAAAGGGAAGTGAGACTCCTGGAGCAACCCCAGGCTCAAAAATATGGGATCCTACACCAAGTCACACACCAGCGGGAGCTGCTACTCCTGGACGCGGTGACACACCAGGCCATGCAACACCAGGCCACGGAGGCGCAACTTCTAGTGCTCGTAAAAACCGCTGGGATGAGACCCCCAAGACAGAAAGAGGTACTTCCACTGGAGTCTGGCATTGTTTGGGTGAAATACTGACTTGATGAGTGGTGTATTTATAGCTCCAAATCTGTTCTATTCTGGTTAGACAAGCAAATAACCTGCTGCTTTAGGGATAGATGAATAGCTAAGCAGTGGGGCAGGTGGCAGGGGTGGGCTAGAAGGGGGTCAATGGAGGGATAAAAAGGCACATATGTAATACTTTCAACAGTAAATACTTAAAAAAACAACTGAGCAGATCATATGCCTAATTCTTTTCCTTTCTTGAGATTTAAAATTTAAGAAAAACATTAGGAAGAAGTAAAGTTTGTAGATCATAACCTTTTTTTATTGTGTAAAGTATATATAACATGAAATTTACCATTTTAAGTGTACAAGTAAGTGGCATTAAGTACATTCACAGTGTTGTGCAACCATCACCAGTATTCATTTCTAAAACTTTTTCATCACCCCAAACAGAAATTCCATATCCATAAAGTAATAACTCCCCATTTTTGTCTCCTTAAACTCTACTTTCTGTATTTATTACTTTTCCCAAATCTTTTTTTGTATAACCCTTTAAAGCTATATTTCTTTAACTGTTTATGAGAGCTGTGGCAAGTTAAGATTTCGTAGTACATCTGCTGTATTAAAATTTATTTACAGCCCTGGCTGGTTTGGCTCAATGGATAGAGCGTTGGCCTGCGGACTGAAGGATCCTGGGTTCTGTTTCGGTCAGGGGCACATGCCTAGGTTGCAGGCTCGATCCCCAGTTGGGGGCGTGCAGGAGGCAGCCGATCAATGATTCTCTCTCATCATTGATGTTTCTCTCTCTTTTTTCCTCTCTGAAATCAATAAGAATATTTTTTAAAAATTTATTTGCAGAATATTTAATGATATGGGAGAGAACTTGCCATGCTGCAATGGATGAAAGAAGCAGCATAGAATTTACACACAAAACAAGCTCAGCTGTATATCTCAGCTGTATGGGGAAATGGAAAGTGGCTCAAGAGACAGAGTGGTTGTGATATTAAGGGTGGTTAAAAAAATACTTTGTTTTCCCATTCCTTAATGTTCACTAGGTATTGTTTCTGTAGTCAGTGGAAAAGGAACAAAAATTAGTGAAGGGGGAGGATAAATTTGAAACGTTTAAACCTAAAATGGGCCTGCATTTTGGGAATATTCTGCTTTTGAAATTGATCACTTTGAGTATGTTAGCTGTTTGAGAATAAAAAGTAAATTTTTGACGGTTAAAACTTTAGACACTAACACTTTTTTTTTTTTTTTTTTTAAAGATACTCCTGGGCATGGAAGTGGATGGGCTGAGACGCCTCGAACAGATCGAGGTGGAGATTCAATTGGTGAAACACCCACTCCTGGAGCCAGTAAAAGGAAATCACGTTGGGATGAAACACCAGCTAGTCAGATGGGTGGAAGCACTCCTGTTCTGACCCCTGGGAAAACACCAATTGGCACACCAGCCATGAACATGGCTACCCCTACTCCAGGTAAAACTCCTGGCTGTCTTGTATCCAAAGGACTTGTGGAGTGGTAAATATTTGTACTATAGATTGTTACAGAAGTTTGCTTTTTCCGTAGGTCACATAATGAGTATGACTCCTGAACAGCTTCAGGCTTGGCGTTGGGAGAGAGAAATTGATGAGAGAAATCGCCCACTTTCTGATGAAGAATTAGATGCTATGTTTCCAGAAGGATATAAGGTAATAACATGGAATATGAATGTGATGGTTTTTAGAATATAAAATAGGAATTTTATTTTAAGTATTCTTTCAAGAAATTTATAAGTCAGGTTTGCACTGGCCTTGTCTAAACTTACTACTACCATTACATTCTTTTAGCTGTTTCCAAGTATATTTCAGTTCCAAAAAGTAATAGGAGTGAAAATAAATTACAGGGAACTTTTTATTACTTTTGGAAGGTGAGAAATCTCCTGGACTTCTAGGACCATATGCTTTTATTTGCATGCATTTATTTGATTTCTGTAAAGCGACTTAAATATTTAAGACTTGATTTTGGTGTGATGATTTTTATTTTATTATTAAAACCAACATGTTTATATATGTTAATGTTTGAAAGTGATCAGAATTTTATAATATGCTTCATTTTCCTAAATTTCCCACAGTTCTAATATACTTAAGTTTTATTAACAGATGAGAAATATGAATATTTGTCGTATATACTTTAAACTTACAATCAAGATAGAAAAATGGGATTGGTAGTAGTAATTCCTATCTCCAAGCAAAAAGCTTCCTAGCTAATAAACTGTAAAATATTTTTTAAGTGCAAATGTTATTCATTACATTCATCTTTAGTTAATCAAGAAAATCCTAAACTGTCTTTTTAATTGTCTTAGGTACTTCCTCCTCCAGCTGGTTATGTTCCTATTCGAACTCCAGCTCGAAAGCTCACGGCCACTCCAACACCTTTGGGTGGTATGACGGGTTTCCACATGCAAACTGAAGACAGAACTATGAAAAGTGTCAACGACCAACCATCTGGAAATCTTCCCTTTTTAAAACCTGATGATATTCAGTACTTTGATAAACTTTTGGTAAGTGATAATAGTAAAAATAAAATAATACCTTTATTTAGGGATTTTAAATCAATATCTCAGTCCAACTTTAAATTATTTTCTTTTTACTGTATTAGGTGGATGTTGATGAATCAATACTTAGTCCAGAAGAGCAAAAAGAGAGAAAAATAATGAAATTGCTTTTAAAAATTAAGAATGGTACACCTCCAATGAGAAAGGTAAGTGCCAATTCATTAAGTCATCATCTTAATTATAATTTTATGTTTAGAAATGTATTAACTTCTTCAGCTTTACCAAGGGCATAGTATGAGTGAAATAAAGATATGTAATAAGAAGGACCTAGCTCTTTAATCAAGGAATTTTATGCTAATAGAGATATCGAAAAATGAGATTCTCTTTTTTTTCCTAAGGCATTTAAAACATGCTGAAGACTCAAGGAAATTAGTGGGATTATATGAGGAATTGTAATAGTACCCTATATGGCTTGAAGATGGGCAGGTAATCTTTTACAGGGAGATTAAGGAATTTTATAACTCCAGTGGCTCCATTGTTCTGTTACCTTTTATTAACTGAAACATTGAACTTCTGTCAAAGGGATTCATACTTCAGAGTAGTTTTAATGGGAATGAACTTAAGCTACTCTGTAAAATGCCTGTAAAGATGAAGTTACAGACAATTATGGATTAATTGGCTTGTTCTAAATGCTTAATTACAAAGAAACACCTTTTATTCTTTTTCTCCCCCAGGCTGCATTGCGTCAGATTACTGATAAAGCTCGTGAATTTGGAGCTGGTCCTTTGTTTAATCAGATCCTTCCTCTACTGATGTCTCCTACACTTGAGGATCAAGAACGTCATTTGCTTGTCAAAGTTATTGATAGAATATTATACAAACTTGATGACTTAGTTCGACCATATGTGCATAAGGTTTGTTATTCTCAAGTAGTGTTTCTAGTGGTTTGATATTAAAAAAAACACACATTTTATTGATTTTTTTTTTACAGAGAGGAAGGGAGAGGGATAGAGAGAATCATCGATGAGAGAGAAACATTGATCAGCTGCCTTCTGCACACCCCCTACTGGGGATGTGCCCGCAACCAGGGTACATGCCTTTGACCGGAATCGAACCGGGACCCTTGAGTCCGCAGGCCGACACTGTATCCACTGAGCCAAACTGGCTAAGGCTGGTTTGATATTTTTAATATGAAAGGAATTAATGAATTTTTTTTGGCCAACTTGTATGTATTTGTGCAATTTAAAATTTCTTATAAAAGCAATAGCTAATGCTATATGTTTACAATAAAAAGGGAAATTTTACCGGCTTGCAAGACAGAGTTATCAATGTTCAATTTACATGTCTTCCCAGACATTTTTCTTTTCCCAAGCATGTATCACACATATAAAAATATGTGTATAGATAGACGTAACATTTTGCCCTCTTTACTAAAATGGGTTCATATTACTAATTTTTTTTATTTGCTTGATTGATACTAGATTAGGATGAGAAAATCTGTTTCGATAGCATGGCTTTTAGTGTTAAACATTTGTTTTTGTTTGTGGCAGTTATGGATTAGAATTCTAAAGTGCAGCCCAGCCTGTGTGCTCAGTGATTGAGCATTGACCCATGAACCAGGAGGTCACGATCATCTCCCCCAGTAGGGGGCGTGCAGCTGATGAATGATTCTCTCATCATTGATGTTTCCATCTCTCCCTCTCCCTTCCTCTCTCTGAAACCAGTAGAATTAAAAAGTGCAGATGTATGGCTTTTTAAAAAACAAAGTACATTTTCTAGTAAAATGAGTTCTATATGCTTGTGGTTTTAGATTACATAAATGACATGCTTTAACAAATTTTCCTAAATTTAATTCTATTACAAGGGTGGCATCGGTAATTGGTGTGGAAATTCAGTTCTTTCTCTTTTTCAGATCCTTGTGGTCATTGAACCATTGCTGATTGATGAAGATTACTATGCTAGAGTGGAAGGCCGAGAGATTATTTCTAATTTGGCAAAGGTATTTGCATTATATTTCTAGAGGAGAAAGTTTGGTATCTGTAGATGGGATTATTTGATTTGCAAAGAAATGGTTGAGGGTTAATGTTATCAGCCCATGACTATCCTTTCTTCTTACCTTTTAGGCTGCTGGTCTGGCTACTATGATCTCTACCATGAGACCCGATATAGATAATATGGATGAATATGTTCGTAACACAACAGCTAGAGCTTTTGCTGTTGTAGCTTCTGCCCTGGGCATTCCTTCACTATTGCCCTTCTTAAAAGCTGTGTGCAAAAGCAAGAAGTCCTGGCAAGCGAGACACACTGGTATTAAGATTGTACAGCAGATAGCTATTCT